CCCCCCCGCCCCCCCGCCTGCATTGCCCGTAACCCGTCACCGTCCCACTTCCCTGTGCCCGCAATTCCTCTGCCCCCTTCCCTGTGTAACCTGTGTCCTTCTACCCGATATAAGCAGCTGGCTTGGGGGTGGGGTGTAGCGCCGCTGTTTGTGGATGACCTAACTGCTCTCCCACGTTGCCGGCAATATTGGAAATAAAAGTCTCATTTGTGATTCAACCCTGTCTCTGCTTAATTGGCTCAAGTAGTGACAGGCAGCCCAGACCCACTGGTTGCCCGGTTTCAAGAGGACTTGAGTTATCAATTCTGGGCAGTCAATCTCTAATTAGTATTATCGTTCAAAGCAAATTAGTGCAGCCACTAAAGAGTACGGAGGTGTCTCAAAATATCAGGCCAGCACTACCATATGATCCAGTTATTCCACTTCTGGGTGTTTATCCACAGGTTATAAAAACACTAATTTGCAAAGATGTCTGCAAGCCTGTGTTCACAGCAGCACGACTTGCAACAGCCAAGACACGGAAACAGCCCGTGTGCGCCCAGGGACGCGTGGACGAATGTGATGGGGCCACTCGGACAGCGGGACACGACCTGGCCTTTAAAAAGACAGCAACCTTGCCATTTGCAACGGGGTGAACCCTGAGGGCACCATACTAAGGGAAGCAAGTCAGACAGGAAAGGGCAAAAATGTTATTCTTTCATTCATTTGTGGGCTATAAAAAACCAAAAGAGCAAACAAATCAGAACAAAACAAAGTCACAGAGACGAAAACAGATCGGTGCAGAGGGCAAGGGCGGGAGGGTAAGTGGGCAAACGTGCGGTGACGGAGGGGCCTAGACTTCGGGCGCGAGCAGGCGAGCGTCAGTGCTGAGCTGTCACGTTGTACACCTGAAACTTGCCGCACGGCCACCGATGTTACCCCAAATTACACAGAGCTAATTAGATCAACAGTAGAGGCTGTTCTTTTTCTAGGGATAAAAGGCCACTTAACCTACTGAAACCTGCTGCTGCAGCCCATGGAAATCAGGGTGTGAGAATCGACCGGTAATTCAATACGGTCGGCTTAGTGCTAACTTTCAGCATTTGCTCCCGCTGGGTACTTTTGCCAGACTAGAGGCATTACAGCGGTGACTGATTTGAGCTCTAAAGCCGATGCCAGGCTCTGCTCATACACTGACAAACGAGTCTGAGACGCCATGAAACCTTTCAAAAGTTAAGAACTTTTGGGGGTGAAGAGAGGCACCGTGACGGTTACCCGGCGCCTTCCGTCCTGGAAACTGTAGAGTGTAATTACTTGAGGACGCAAAGCTTTGGACTGGGCCTCAGGAACCCTGGCTCCCTTCCTGACGCTGACCCCTCGTGTGTCCTGTGCTGGTCACACAACCTCGTTGAACCCCCGTTTCTTCACTCACAAAATGGAAATAATATGTATGGTGCCGGGGTGTTGTGGAGCTTAATTAGCGTTTCTGAGATACTCTGAGGTGATCAGATGAAAGGCGTACTTTAGGTTTACAACGTTAATTACTATTTTTATTGGACATAATTATCTGAAAATACGAGAAGCTACTGGATGTTGCTTCGCCGGCACTTGGCGTGAACTTGGCGCGAGCCCATTTCTGACAGCCTCGCTCCCGTGGTTGACGGGACCCACTCATCCGCAGGTCGTTCCCACAGAAATCAACCTGGGAACATATGCAAAGCCGATTAACAAGCAGGAACAGGGAAAGGCTCAGCAGGAACAGGGAGTGTTGGCTGGACCAGTTAGAGCAGACACACCTCGCTGCCGAAGTAAACACGAGCAGGAGGGGTAATTGAGAGAGACACAGATAGAGCTTAATTGCAAAACAGCCTAATGGAGCTTCTATTTGAAGTGTGTTTTTCCTCTCAGGAACTCAAAGCAACGTGCCAATGTTTCCTCCTTCATCCCCGCCAGGCAGAGAGCAAAGAGGAGCCGGCGCTGCCGACAGGTGAACGGAGGCTGAGAGCTCAGAGGTTGGTCTGAGGCCACGGCCACCCTGCCAGCAGCGGGGCCAGGCCGTCCTTTCCTGCACAAGGTCAAAGAGTTTGCTAGCAGTGGGGTGGGGGCGGGAACTCAGACGCTTTGTGTCTGATAATTGGGTGATGTTACCTCTCTTCAGAGATGGGTATAGTCCGGGGACAAAGGCACCTCATTAAAGGAACCGGTGCAATATCTAACTGAAAGCTCGTGAATGCTCGGAGGCTCTCAGCGAGGTCGGGCAGGTCTCTGCCAGACCAGCAGCACCTGGGAAAGCGTGTCTTATCCCGGCGCTTAATTGGCGCAATTTCTGTTCCCATCATTGAGGATGCAGATTGCAAAGCTTTGTTTTTTATGGTACATTGCCCATCACTGGGGAAAACAGTAGCGTTTGGTTTTCTTCTTTGTTTGTTGGGTTTTTTGTCTGTTGGGTTTGCTGCACAGGGTGGTTAGAACTTAAAAACACGTTCAGTAGATCAATTCATTTCTATCAATATTTTCCAATGTTCCAAATGTTCCAATTTCTATCAAACATTTTCCAATGTTCGATTCCAGTCTACGTCTAGGAAGCACAGCCTGTATTAGTCTCAGGTAAACCAGACCTTAAAACTCTCTCCCCACATTCAACTTTTTGGCATCATGAACACCCTTATTACAATTCTCACCCAAACTGACAAGACACAGAATGTGGGAGGAATCCCACCGCGTTAGGCTTGGGCCTCCTGCCACACCTGAGACAACCCAACTGTCAAAAGCACCAAGAAGGCCATCACCAGCTCTATGTTATGTCAGCTTGACTGGAGCGATGAGCGGAAATCTTACCGTGGTTAGGATGCGTCGGGAGAGAGCACCCTGATGACATTTCTGCGTGATGGGCAAGGACTTCTCGATGCTCTGTTTTAGGTTTAAGCATGTTCTCCCCCTACCTCTCTCTCAGTAAAGGCCGACTATAAATTGTTTCACGTGGAGGCCCAAAGATGTATAAAATACCAAGAAAAGGGATTTTAAAAAAGAAGTTGAAGTACAAACAATGTATAAAAAGTTTCCTAAGACCAAACTTGTTTGAGAAAAAGGTGACCTGGTGAGAGCTTTGAGGTCTAAGAGGTTGTCACGTGAAGGATGTGTTCACACGCTTTATCAACAAGTAACTCTTAGAATTCCTTCTGTTGAATCGTTACGAGTTAATTGGTATTTATTATTGGATTAACCCTTTGCGGTCGTATTAAATTTGGACATGGGTGTCGTACTGGTCGGAATTAGGAGCTTTCAGAGAAATTATGAACTGATACATGAATGAATAGAGTTAAGATTCGTACGGTCCCTTGCTGTGGTGGCTGAGAGCAGACATACGACCGCAAAGGGTTAATATGCAAATAGAATCGTGTTGAGTGGCAACGTCTTTCACCAGGAATCAGTTCCAAAGTTTTGAATAATTTTTCTTTTTCTTTGCTCAGCAGCCAGATCCCGAGTGCTGGTGTCTGTCACCTAGAACGTCTGACAGACCCCTCCTGCCGGCCGGGCGTCTGTGACCCACCCACGCAGGTCCCTGGGAGTCTGATTAGTTAGCTGGCAAGTTTCTACTCTGCGTCATTTATCACACAGTCTCCGGCATCCAGACTTCTATCCACTCTCTGGGCCAAAACAATACAACACAGAGCAACCTGCAGAGCTCTTTTCAAGTAAACTTAGCTTTAAAATAAGCGACACCCACGCAGTCTGCAGCGTCCTCTACCCCCAGACGACATCACACAGCACAGTGACGACTTGACCCAGAGCTCCTGACTCAGATTTTCCCAATAGTACTTAGTACCTAGAATGGTATTATACAGTAAACGTTTAACAAATATCTCTGTGGCCCAGCAGGGCATGGCTCAGCGGTTGAACGTCGACCTGGGATCCAGGTGATCAGGGTTTGATTCCCGGTCAGGGCACATGCCCATGTTGCGGCTCGACCCCCAATCCGGGGCGTGCAGGAGGCAGCCGATCAATGACTCTCATCATTGATGTTTCTCTCTCTCCCTCTCCTTTCCTTTCTCTGAAATCAATAGATATATTTTTTTTAAAAATCTCTGTGAATAAATTCTCTTGGCCTAAGGATACATTGTATTGAATGCTGATCACTCAGCTTCTTCTTCCCTGTGCCCACTGGCATCACTTTGGGTTTCCTGTGACAATGTCCAGGACAGCTAGGCTTCCTCCCCATTCGTAGCTAGTCTTCCTCCCCATTCGTAATTCCACCTTTGGGCTGGGGAAGGAAATGATACCTGTAGAGAGATCCAATTAAAAAACACAACTTACAGGAGGAAACCTAGGTGACCTTGGGTGTGGTGATGAATTTTCAGATACAAAGTCAAATAAAAAACTGCTGTACAAAGGACAGTGTCCAGAGAATGAGAAGACAAGCCACATGCTGGGAGAAAATATTTGTAAAAGACACATCTGAGGACTGTTGTCCAAAAACTACAAGGAACTAAAACTCAGCACTAACAACACAAACAAGCAACTAAAAAATGGGCCAAAACTTTGACACCTCACCAAAAAAGATATACAGACGTGAAGTGAGCTTTTGAAGAGATGTTCCACATCGTCATGGGCATGGAAGTTAAAACAACAGCGAGACACCACTGCACACCTATCAGGGTGGCCAACATCGGACACAGACAACACCAAGTGCTGACGAGGGAGCAGAGCACTGAACAGCAGTGGCCACTTTTCACGTGTCGGCACAGCAGCGGGTCTTACAGAGGCATCCTGGGCTCCAGTCCTCACAGACTCTACACGGCCTTCCCAGGTCCCTTGGATAAAGCTGCATAAACTCCATTCTCCACGTTTTCTCCATTTCTTTAGTTTAG